AACATACAGAGCTACATCCCCGCCTTTTTTCCCACTCTGTCACACCTATACAACCTGTACCCCTCAATGCCTACTGCCCAGTCGTGCATAGAATCCCACCATGTTTCAGTTAAGCCAACTAAATCATACTGTGTGCTAGCAAGTAAGAGTGTGAGCTCCTCCTGCTTATTCTCCATACTCCTGGCATTTGTGTAAAGACAATTTAGCTCCCCAATGGGTGCTCTTGGTGCCCCTTTGCCTTGATGGTTTGTGTTAATGCTTACCTGGTTATGCCTGGCCTTGTTTGTGGCTTTCCAACCCATGGTTCTCATTGACCACTGGTTCCCCGTCCCCCTTCGAACCTAGTTTAAAGCTCTTCAGAGGCGATCAGCCAACCTGAAGGAGAACAGATGCTTACCTCTAGGAGAGAGATGAAGATTGTCCCATGCCAGGAAGCCTCCTCCCTGGAAGTGCTGGTCGTGGTTGTAGAATCCAAAGCCCTACTGAAGACATCATCTCTGGAGCTGCTGGTTGACTACCCTGATGCAGGCATCCTGGCGCCTCTGGCTGCTGCCAACTGGAAGGATGGAGGAGAATACCACCTGTGCCCCTGACTTCCTAAGCCCAACCCCCAGCTCATGGAAGTCCTTCATGATGCGGTCAGGACTACTCCCAGCCACACCATTAGTGCTCACATGGACAAGGACCATGGGGTAGTAGTCAGAGGGCTTGATGAGTTCAGGAATCTTTTCAGTGATGTCACTGATCTTTGCTCCAGGTCATGCAGGAGACCTTTCTCACCATAGGATCTGGTTGGCAGATCGGCCCCTCCATGCCTCTCAGGATTGAGTTGCCCACCACAATAACTCGGAGTTTCTTCTTCTGCCTGGGCAATGGTCCCCCAGCCTGCCCAGCGGGGGTTGCAGGGACCACCTCCTCTATATCCTCCTGCTGGAGAATGTTCCTCCACTGCCTCCTCCACCAAGACTGCCAGGGCCCCGTATCTGTTCCCCAGATGCAATGGGAAAGCAGATGCTGGCTCCTGCTGCCTGGGTCCAGAGGTGACAGTCTTCCACTCCTCTGCTGCAGATTCCTCTCATGGGGTTTCACCCATAGGCATCTGGAGCTGTAGGGAATGGAAATACCCATCAATCACAGCCCCATCCTCCCTGATCCCCCTCATCCTGCTCACTGCCTCCTGCCCTCACCTGCTCCTCCAAGGCCTAAAGGTGGACACATGAGGGACAGGTAAGGGGGCTCCCCCTCTCCCCTGATGTCAGGGTCCCTGCCAGGCCAGACCGGCAGACAGAGCTCCGTCTGGGTGGAGACCTCTGAGGAGCCGCGGGTGGGTGGCAGCATCGGGGCAGGGTCCCTAGCAGCAGCACCCTGTGCCCTTACCTTAGCTGCAGAGCTATGAGTCCTCATTGCTCTCCTGCTGGGTGCTCCTTCTTGTCTCCTTCTGTGCACCCGCCTTGCGCAAATGCCTGTGCAAACACAGACGCACCCTTACAGAGCACTGTAATATAAAATAATAGTAACAGCATTCAATTTCAGCACTGAAAAACCTTACAACGTTCTCCTTTGGTCAACATATGTTAGAAATCTAAAGGACTCATGGAATTTGGAAGTCTTCAAGGTTTTTTTTTGATTTCATTGAAACATATCAATCCACAGCAAACTTAATATTGTAACTTGCATTCTAAAGTCTAGTTTGTATGTTTGCCTTTTTGTGATTATGCATCTTAACCTCTGACATCTTTATAGGGAAGTGAACAATGGATGAAGAAGTGATCATTTTTTAACTGCTTAAGTGAAGGTCAAACAGGGCAAGAAGCTGAGAGTCAAGGTAACAATAGAATTGAAGGTTTCATTGTGGGTTCTCTTTATATGTCAGCGAACTTGATTCATACTTGGTACGAATAGAGGAACTCTGAGCTATTTCAAGAATGTCAGCAATTTTGTCATAAAGAAACTTTGATCTTGCTCTAATTTCCCATGCTCATTCATTAGCTGAAAATATGGATAAGAAAGGCTCTCTCTTATCTGCAACTAACTGCTTGCTACTTAAATAAAGCACCTATTTTTGCTCCCTGTCCTTCTAATAATAAAACAGTTCTTTGCAGGTCCTGTTGCTATAGGATAAAACTTTTGACTCAAAGGAAATATCTCTCTGATGCACAGCCTGAGAGGAATGCCTTTGAATTCTGAAACTGAGGTCAGATTCTATAAACATACCACCCAACTTCTATGCCTCAAAAACTATGGAAACCTCCTCCCCCAAATCTGCCATAGGAGGTGATAGTGACCTTTTGATAGCTCCAAGAGCATGGAAGTAGAAAAGAGTTCCTATCCCTCAAAAACTGATCCTGGGAATTCTCGACCATGTTTAGGTGCAGACTGTTCTGATTTGTTTTGTCCTATAACAGTCTTCATTGTGCTTATCAATCTAGTCTCTAAGCCCCTTACAGTAATGCAATAAGCAATGTGACTAACATCTGTCATATTGTCTCTCCAGGGAGAGAAATGTGTGCAGTAGGGAATTTTCTTTCAATAGGGGTTTTTGTTTTCCTTTATTTACTGCCTGTGTATTCTAATTTAGAATCTACAATTTTCTTTATTTTCTTCCATTTTCATAGTATACTAATACTTAGCACTTACATACTTAACACCTTTTATGTGAAGATCTCAACTTTTTTTCAGATGTTAATTAAAGTGTAGTTCCACCAGGCCAAGTAGTATTTTACTTTTACTTTTTAAAAAAATAAAATAAACAAGAGCAATAAATTACAGAATGTTAACCTTTTGCTGATCACTTAGGGTGTGGACACACAATGACTGAACCATTCTTAAATGTCATTGATAGGAACCAGTTCACAATTGTGTGAAGGGCTGTGGCTCTGACACCAGGAAGTGGAAGTGAGCACACCCAGCCTGGCATGCCACACCGGTGAGCTGGGGGGCTGCTTGTGTCCATGCTTTGGGAGTCCCAAGGGGTGGGTAACTTGTGGCTGGGGGTGTTTTCACTTTTCTGCTTTCCCTTGACTCTCCTAAACATGAGTTCAATAAACTTCAATAACCTGCAATTAACCAATGTCTGCATTGTGCTCCCCTGACCTGCGGGTGGGGAGGAGAGGGGAGGAGGGTTTAGTAATTGGACCCAAGTTTTTGGGGTCCCAGGGGCTGGGGCAGAGGGAGGCATGATGACAGGCCACAGTCAAGTAAGGAGTAAGGACAAAGTTGCTTGTAAAAAAAGATAGCTATTGTTGAAGAAGCAGCTCAGAGGAGCTTATCAATAAAAAGGGTCAACAAAAGAAGGGGAAAAAAGGAGGCAGTAGAGTTCTAGCTGAATACCAGAGTGGCCAGTTGCAGTAGGTAGGAGGAACAATGAGGTGTGGGACGCTGGTGATGCGTAGGGGGTTCATGCAGGTGCATGTGCACCCCCTGAGATTGGCGGTGCACCCCCTGGAAGCGCCAGCCACAAAACTGGAAGTGCACTCCTGGCACTCCTGGTTTTGCCGCTGGCTTGGTGATTGGCTGCTGGGGGACCCCGCCGCCATTGGCGATCTGGTGCCTGGCCCCCCCCGACTCAGGAGGCACCAGTTGGCCATGGTGTGGGATGCCTGGAGGACCGACCAGACCCCTGTCACAGAATGCCTGGTGTCACAGTGAACTGGTTCAAAAGAGTTCTTGATTTTCCAGGTACACTTCTAAGCCATTCCAGGAAGCTTTAAACTAGTTTAATAGGTTTGTAAGTCTATCTGCTTCTGGTTTAAACTGCATTTAAAACTAGTCTAAGTGTTACTATGTGTGTCCATGCCATTAAACATATCAGTTCATAATGAACTTAAACATTTAAACTTTTGCATTTTTGAGATTGCACTTTGAAGGTTTAACAGAAGTTAAAAGGTTACAGAGTGAATCTGTGAAAGAATTAGAAATTGAATTTAGGAATCTTGACACTCTTAATCTAATCTACAAAAGACGCTCTCTTTCTCTTTCCTTCAAAATACCAAATTTGCTTCTTAGATCTCAACTTCCTTCTCAATCTCACAAAGTTCCTGGGCTTAGCAAGCAATTTATTCATGTTCTCAATAAACAGCATTCAAAATTCCACAACCACAGTTGCTAAGACTCCTAATCTTAGTTTCACTTACCTTAGCAAAAGAAAGCATACTTGTTCAAACAAACTGCATGCCAGTTTTCTCCACGTTTTAATCTTATAAAAATGTTTTAGTTGTACAACAGGATTCAGAAACATGTTTACGAACACTTTTCAAAACATTTTCAAGATTAGAACTGAAAGTGTTATGATTGTTAAGTGATGAGTTTTTGGGAACTACAGGAGCATAAGTATCCCATACCATCATCTCCTTTTTCGCCCATTGTTGATGAAAGGACATTAGGGCTACATTGCAAATTCTGTGTTTGGTAGCTTCTGTAGATGCTACTTCTGACTTAGCCCAGATCAAGGTCATGGTTTCTAATGGATTATTTTTGTTACCATTATCTCTTCAGAAAATTTCTTCCCTTGGGTATGAAAAATGTGATTTTTTTTTTTTAAAGATCAGGATGCCATAATATCAGGACACAGAAGTGATATTTTGGTCTATCTGAGAAAGGACATCTCCCACTGCTGTGTGTGTAGGGAGAGCAGTGAAGTGAAAGATTCTATTCTTATCTGCAGTCTGCTTTTAAAACTTAGTATGAGCTTTGTACTGTGAATTTATTTTCCCTTGTAAGGCACAAGAATCTACTACAGCCTTGCTCTGCTGCACAATAAATCAAACTGCTTTAGCATGCTGTAATAAAAATAGTTGCTTTGAAGTACAACCTTAAATGTCTAATTTCCTAATGGTAATAATGATGCCTTATCCAGTCTTTTTTTTTTTGGTTCTGTTTTCTCTGTCCGGCTGTTTTTCTAACGTGTGGCTGTCTAACGACTGGATTTTGGATTCCAGATGTTTTGGCAAGAGAAAGCAGTAAACGACCATATACATCTTAGAAACCTCATACCACCCAAGTAGTTGTTATGTCAACTGGATAGTTTAAGTCTACCCAGACAATTCCTTTTTTCCCCTCTTACATGTTGCTAACCCTTTAGTCATCAATACAAAATGACAGAAATTCTTTTATGCGGCTATTATTACATAGATATCCAGGGAAGGGGAAACAAACCCACATATAAGCAAAATACATTTGGTTTTGATGAAAAGAAAAGATGTTTTAATTAAGTAATGAGCTCAGGCTCCATGATAGTGAGCAAGGTAATCTATGAAATGACTAAAGGTATATGTACGTGGACAGTTCTATAGCAGCCTATTTAAGATGTGACCATATTTGTATCTTGCCTCTTCTCTCCAGGAAAATAAAGAGCGTTAAAAAGCAGCTAATCAGTAATTGTACATATGCATGTGTGAGACTATCCACTTTGAACAGGACACAACCATAATTTACTTGACTACTAGTAGCATCAGCTATGGGCCTTACTGGTGTACTCCATCACTGCTGGTGGTCTTTGAGTTAATAGGTACTAAATAGAGAGAGCTGAAATAGCATACTGGAAGAGATTATGCCCTGGAGCTAGCCATTAAGAATGGAAGACAGAGTTGCATAAACAGGTGGATAAGTAAAGAATGAAAAAATGATTTAAAAATATAATAGTTATATATCAATTGTCTTGGTTTCATGTAAAATCTTGATTTTTAGATTATTTCTTGTTTTCATTTTGCTCCCTGCATTTCCTCCCGTTCTTAAAGCATGGCCATATTTCTAGCAATCCTCCTTTTAATCAGTGAAGACACAGGGTAAAGTCCTGGCTGCACTATACTCAAGGGGCACTTTGATATGGTTCTCAGTGAAACCAGGATTCTACCTGCTATTCTCTAAATGATCCATTATTTTCATGCTTTCAGCTGGCCAGAGAGTTATTAAAAATGCTGTCTCCCAAAATAGGCTAAGCATAACACTGGTGCCATTTTGTCATCCCTTGCTACAATCAGAACCAAAGGAAGATAGTTCACTCCCCCATGTGTCAAGGCACTTATACTAGGCTGCTTGGGTAACATAATAGCAACTAAAGGATAGAACTGTGCATGCGAGTCATGCATGTAAGTGATGTGACATTACCAATTGTGGGCTTTAAGGAAAAGGAAGTTTTGGGGAGGTGGAAGGTTTCTAGGCATTGAAGGTTATATGGAAGACATGATAACAAGAGGGACTAAACAGTGGCTCTTATTTTGGCAGAAAGGAAAAAAAACGGAGAGAAGAGTAAAAAGAAACGAGAGAAGAGAAACAGAGATAGTGAGGAACCTGATTCAGACAATGGAGGGATTCAAAGAGGAATAAATATTTCCACAGGTGAATTAACACATGGGCTTGCCGAACAGGGGCCCCTGGATTCCTGGAGGGCAGGCACGGGGGAGAGGGTGCAGCTCAGCGTAGATGAAACCAGCAGCTGAGCTAGGCCAGGCGTGTGTGATGCAGCAGGCTTTGGCTGCTGGGTACCAGACAGGGCACAGGGTGCAACTGCACCAGAGCCCTGGGAGTGGCTGGAGCTGCCAGCAGCTAGGGAGCAGAACCAGGCATGATGCATGGCTGGGATCTGCTGGCAGTAGGGTGACCCCAGTGAAGCCAGCCTGGCCCGACCACAATCCTGCTCATTTGCCGAGTGCTGCTGCAGTTGGAATGAGCCACGGCAAGGTGAGGGGCCAACCCTGGAGCTCACTCCATGCTGCAAGTGCCCGGCCAGCAGTGGCTCCACACCCCCGGTGCCAGCTCCCAGATGTGGGGTGATTTTGTGTGGGGTCCTGTGTAACCGGCTCTGGGCTCTAAGTCTAGTGAGGACCTCATAGACTCAGAGACATTAGGGCTGAAAGGGACCTTGAAGATCATCAAGGAGCAGGAAGTCAGCTGGGGCCAAAGGATCCCAGCAAGATAAACATCCAAATGTTTCTTGAATGAGTCCAGAGTAGGTGCCTGAACCACTTCTGGAGGGAGTCTATTCCAGGCCTTGGGGGCTTGGACAGTAAAGAATTTTTTCCTTATATCCATCCTAAAATGGTCTTGGAGGAGTTTATGACTGTTGGTCCTTGTTAACCCTCAGGGTGGCCTGGTAAAGCCTATTTTCTTGCCCTCTGATCATGCATGTGGCTCTCCTCTGGACTCTCTCAAGCTTCTTGACATCCTACTTGAATTGTGGAGCCCAGAATTGAATGCAGTACT